CGTAGTGATACTGCCTCGGAAACCCAAGGAGGGGTCGCTATGAGTCAGGGCTGACTCGACGGCACATAACAACAACAACAACAACAACATATATATATATGCATAGAATCTAAATTTTATATACAAAGCCATGAGAAGTCCAATCATAGTTAATGAATTTATATGATACATTAGTGTTGCCAATCCCAGGAGAAAGATATCATGCTTGGAAAGTAGAGGGTCAGTGAAAAACAACAAGATGGATTGACACAGTCATTACGACAGTAGGTTCCAGCCTAGCATAGATTGTGAGGCTGGCAGAGGACCAGACAGTGTTTTTTTCTGTTGTACACAGTGTTGCTATGAGTCAGAACCAATTTGATGGAACCTAACTACGACATTAGTATTAATATGAGCAAAATATAAATGTAATATAAATACAAAAAGATGTTAGTCTATAAATACAAATATATATATATATATATATATTAATTCTTCAAGAGCAGATGGGAGAAGAGGCTGTTCTACCTGCTTTCCTGTGTTTTATTTTGGACCCAAACCTCTATGGTCAGGCCATGTATTTCTTACTCCCTCAATTCTCCCAAAACAACTGTCTAAATCTCCACTAAAACTTGGTCCCGAGGAGATATAGGTCTTAGTGAAGGCCATATTTATTGTCCTCTTTGGAGACAATATAACTAAACACCTAATTAATTCATTCAGTAATTCAATATCTTTGCTATTCTAGGTTCTAGGTGATTTGGAAAATGTTAAAAAATCAAACATTTGCATTTGTGTGTGATATTCATGACATTTTATGTAATATGCTTTCCCCCCAGAGGTCACAACTATTTCACCTTCACGAGGAAGTATTCAAGGTGGCACCACACTAACAATCAGTGGGCGGTTCTTTGATCAAACTGACTTTCCAGTCAGAGTTCTAGTTGGAGGTATTTTTATTATCATTATTAATTTTTGCCACATACTTTGTTTTTATTTTGTTTTATTTTTTGCAGTGTTCCCTCCCCTCCCTCCCACTCCTGGTAACCAACAAAGAAAGTGTTCTTCCATATATAAACCTTTCCTTGACTTTTTACAATAATGAAATAGTACAATATTTGTCCTTATGTCCTCCAAGTTCATCCACATTATGTAGTGTTTTGTAGATTCTATGTTATTCTTTAGGGTTGCATAGTATTCCATTGTGTATATGTACCATAGTTTGCTTGTCCATTCTTCTGTTGATGGTTGTTTCCATCTTTGTGCTACTGTAAATATTGCTGCAATGAACGTGAGTGTGCATATTTCTGTTCTTGTCCTGGCTCTCACTTCTTTAGGATATATACTTAGTAATGAGATTGCTGGATCAAATGGTATTTCTAATTCCAACTTTTTAAGGAATTGCCATACTGCTTTCCACAGCAGTTGTATCATTTAACAGTCCCACCAGCAGTGAATGAGAGTTCCAATCTCTCCACATACTTCCCGGCATTTGTTATTTTCTGTCTTGTTGTACTTTGCTATTAGAATTATTATTTTTAAAATATTACTTTATAAAACAACTCCTAACTTTTCGCCCATTTACCTTTCATTAGCAATTTGTAGGGACAATAATAATCATTTCTTAATCAATATTTCAAATTTAAAACAGTATTTTCACGCAGGCATTTTGGTTCTGAGGATTGATGCTTATCCCACTACAATTATGCTAAAAAATTTTAGATCTGCTTCTGCTTTGGTTTTATTCTACATGTGCAAATACCATTTAAAAGTTATTAGCCCTTTCATTTTCATTACAACTGGGATTAAACCATCATTTTTCTTATATAAGGTGACTGGGAAATTTTAAACTCAGTGGGTATAGTCAGTAAAGTCTCTTCAAGCAGTAAAATATAAATAAGGTTTGATTTTGGATCCAGAAGTGAAATATTTTACAATGACATAATTGTATCTTTTTGTTTGTTTCTCAGAAATTATGAAATTTTGTATTTCGTGTATGTGATACTTTGTCAGGAAAATGTTGCCTTGTGGAAATATGATAATTAATGAGTGATAAGCTTTAATGGAGTGTACAAAAAGGAAATGAAGAGTTGCCAACATGCCTCTTGCTTGTGCAGTTTTGTTTCCATTGAAAAAACACTTCAAGATAGGCTGATATGGTCTGTGCCCTGAAGCTTCAGTAGTAACAGTTTTCCATCTTGGTTCTCTGTAGGCCAGGCCTGTGATATTTTGAATATCACAGAAAATAATATATATTGCAAGACACCACCCAGGCCTCGTCTTCTCAGAAATGTATATGCAGGTAAGTTCCAAGACAGAATAAAGCAAAACCAAAGCAAACTCACTGCCATCAAGTCCATTCTTACTCATAATGACCCTCTTTGGGTTTACGGGGCAGTAAATCTTTACAGAAGTAGATTGCCTCATTTTCCTTCTGCAGAGTGACTGGTGGGTTTGAACTGCCAACGTTCTGGTTAGCAGTCATATGCCTTAGGCACCACACCATATATTTTTCATAAAAATATTATTGACAAATAACATTAGGAAGAAGAAAAGTATTATCTCAGCTATTTTTTTTTTTAATTTGTGAATAGAATTATAATAATTTATTTTTACTTCCTGGATTGGGAAATATTTGTATTAACATAGCTGAATCAAAGGTCTACCACTGGAGGAAAACCCAGCCTAAATTCCCTGGACACCATACTGAAAACATCATGCCTCTGTTGACAGAGAATGATGGAACTTTTATTTCAAATTAAATGATGATTAATAGATGTTGGTCTAGGCTACAAAAAAGTTATAAAATACATTTTCCTGGTTTAAGAAAAAATGGGGGAAGTTAAATACTTACTTGTCTAGAATGACTTAGGAGTGTAAACAAGGGATAAGAGAAATGTAACTTAAAATTCTTCCCAGACTTACACTATGTCACCCAGTGAAAGTGCAGCTGGTGGCCTTGGTATTGGCAGAGACAGAACTGACATGCTGCTTATGGGTTTGGGTGTGATAATGTATTTCAAATCTTGTGCATACAATGAAACTCCCCTTAAAAAACAACAACAACAAAAAACACCTTATTTCAACTTTTATTTTAAAATGTAAACAGTGTTTAGCAAAATAACAGAGTGGTGTACAAAATAAAAGATTACCTGGAAGTACAGTGCTCTATATCGATATGATATCAAAATGGCAACAATTACTCCAAAGCAAACATGAGAAGAGAAGGGGGCAGAAAAATAATTTTTTTTTTTTTTTTGTAATGTAAGGAATGTTCAAAATATCTAACACCACTGACCTCCAGTCCTATGGGAGGGTGTGGCAAGAGGGTCCGGTCAGAAAACCAGCATTCCTCCCACCCCTAGAGAAAAGAGAAGGCCAAAGACAGTGTAGGACAAGAACACCAGGACCCTGTGAGAATGGGCCCCCTCCCACCTATCACCTGCTCAAGTTTTCCCAACACACCTACCCCAAAATCTTCTTCAACCAAGAAGAAATATTTAAAATTCTTAAGAAGTGTCCAGTCTCCAGAACTGTTGATGTTGGTTGGTATTTGAAGCCAAATAAATTGTTTACCAGACTCTTAAATTTTGTATTTTGCATGATATTATATATTTTTATATATTTTTAAATGGCCATTTTAAGGTCACTGTGGTTTAAAAGTGACCTTAAAGCACAGTGACCTTAAAATGGCTTTTTTTTTTTTTTTTTTAATAATATATAGTATCATGCAAAACACAAAATTTAAGAGGCTGGTAAAAGAGAGCTCTGGTGGCATAGTGCCTAAGGCATTTGACTGCTAACCAGAAGGCTGGCGGTTCAAACCCACAAGCCACTCCTTGGAAGGAAGACTGGGCAATCTACATCTGTAGAGATACTGCCTCAGAAACTCAAGGAGGGGTCCCTTTGAGCTGGAACCGACTTGATGGGAGTAAGTTTGTGTGTGTGTGTGTGTGTGTGGTGGCGCAGTGCCTAAGGCACTTGACTGCTAACCAGAAGGCTGGCAGTTCAAACCCACCAGCCACTCCTCGGAAGGAAGATTGGGCAATCTACTTCCATAGCTAGTGATACTGCCTCGGAAAACCCAAGGAGGGGCCGTTATGAATAGGGTCTGACTCCACAACAGTGAATTTGGTTTTTTGTTTGTGGTTTTAAAAGATTGAAGTGCTAACACTTACTCTCCAACTAAACTCAACTGAAGAGAGTAGACGCTGTATTGCAGATTCAGACAGCTGGAAGTTGCTGGAGGAGGTTGGGAGCCGAGTGTTGTTCTGTATTTAGGGGGAAAAAATGTGGAGGAGGCCAGATGGCTCTTTTCAGACTAGAATACAGAGTTAATCACAGTTTGTGCACTGGCAAAAGTAGGTACAACTTCAATGAAAATATTTTTTCTTTGATTCTGTCCAAGGAGATGAAATCACAGAGCAGAGGGAATATTTAAAAAATATTTTTAAAAAGCAAGAAGAAAGAAAACTGCTGGTAGAAATCTTAAAGCCAGCAGTAGCTGCTCTTTGATTGGTTGCAAATCATTAATTGATTAACTTTTGTTTGAAAGAATAATTAAGCCCTAGATTTTGTAATCAAATAATCTGAATTTTGAAGTCTTGAGACTAAACTATATAAATTAATATCAGTTATATCATAGATAGTAATTATCTTATTATTGTTACTGAAAGGAAAGCACTTACTATGTGCTGGATATTTTACATTTAGTATATATTTTATCAGTATATTAACTCAAGGAGCTCTCGTGGCATAGTAGTTAAGGCATTAGGTTGTTAACAGTTTGAAGCCACCAACCATTCCAGGGGAGAAAGATGAGGCAGTCTGCTTTCATAAAGGTTTACAGACACCCTATAGGGTAGTTTTTCTCTGTTCTATAGGGTTACTATGAGTCAGAATCAACTCTATGGCAATGGGTTTGCTTTCTTTTTTGGTACATTATATATAATCCTGACAACACCCATGCAAATAATATTATCGGTCCCATTTTACATATGAGGAACCCAAGGCTCAGAGAAGTGAGGTAATAATAAATTACATACTGTCATTATAGCATTCTGTCCTCCTGGTGCAGGTACATTTAAGGGTTTATATAATTGATTTCTTTACACCCCCCCCCCAAATAAACCAAACTCACTGCTGGGGAGTCGAATCCAACTCAGAGTTGACTCCTCCTTGGGTTTCTGAGGTACTATCACTATGGAAGTAGATTGCCTAACCTTCCTTCCGAGCAGTGGCTGAGTTAGCAGTCAAATGCCTTAGGCACTACACCGTCAGAGCTCACATGTTGTCTGAAAATGTGAATGGAAATAGAACATCTATGTGGTGGTTATGTTTGTGTGTCAACTTGGCTGGGCCTGGTTGAGTGGCTGGGCAGCTGGTGGTAGTTGTTCCCCATGATGAGACTGGCAACCAACTCCATGGTGGGATCTACCACAAGCAGCTGAGTAGCTGCTTTGGGTATGTGGTCTGCTTCCCATATATAAACAGCAGCTTTGGGAATGGTATCTAGCTTATGGCACGCCTGGACCCTGCATGTAGCCATGTCATTGTTCAACAGCCTGCCATGCTCTGCCGACCTGGGGACTTACAATGAACTTGAATTAATGGCCTGCCATGTGGTTTGGTAACATCGGGACTGTGCCTTTTTCCTTGTCAATCTTGGGCTTGACAGCCTCAGCAGCCAGCAGCTGTCTGAGTGAAGAAAAAAAAGCTCCTAGCTTCAGTGGACTGGGAGCTAAAGCCCAAGACGGAGGGGCTTTCACCTAGCCCCTGGAGCCTGGCACTTTGAACTTGCACTTGAAGCCTCCAAACTATAAGAAAATAAACTCCTGTTTGTTAAGGCCATCCCATTTGTGGTATATTTCTGTTAGAGCGGCACTAGGTAACCAGAACAATCTATAACCACCATGCCAGTGAAAGAACACCAAGCTACCGTGTTGTAATTCTGATAAAAGGCTTCCTTCATCTTATTATGTTTAGGTGGGAGAGGCCTAAAGCTGGAGGTCTGGAATAATAGCCGTCCAGTACATCTTGAGGAGGTTCTTGAGTACGATGAGAAAACACCGGGATACATGGGTGCCAGCTGGGTAGATTCAGCTTCCTGTGCTTGGCCCATGGAACAAGACACATTTGTTGCTCGCTTCAGTGGCTTTTTCGTGGCTCCAGATTCTGATGTTTATAGGTTCTACATCAAAGGTGATGACCGTTATGCTATTTATTTTAGCCAGACTGAACTTCCAGATGATAAGGTAAGGATGCCACAGACTGGTATTTGATATTATAAAAATATGATAATTTTTATATGTATCTCATATGTTCTAAACCAAAGCCAACAAATATATTAAAGAATTGATCTTTAATCAATTTCAAGTGATTGGGTTATTGGCTGTTTTAACATATATGGTGAGAACTATAAAGTTGTCATAGAAAACCCATGGCCTAAAATAAAAGGCTCTCCCATATTGCAATTTTCTCTGCTAAGGAAGAAACTCATATATTTATTTAAAATTGAATATTATTATTATTAAAGTATTATTACCACAATATGGGAATTTTGTAAAATAGTGAAAATAGTATGGAAAGTTAGAGCAATGAGTAGAGTTTTTATATAAATGTGGTCATACATATAATTTCATAGTCATCTTTTCTTACATATTTCCACATCTTATTAAATCATGGATGTAATCACCATTTTTAATGATTGAATATTGTGTCATTGGATGAGTTTACTTAGCTTATGATCATCTCTCTACTGATTAGGTTTTTTTTTTTTTCTTTCATGAAGGCATTTCACTGGGTTATTAGCTGCAGAGTAAATGTCACCCACTACACACACATGCACACACACACATCACCTTCCACAGCCCTCTGTTCACACATTACAGACCGCATTCTTCTGCTTCTGGGTTGTTTCTTCTCAGCCATCTCTCTGTCTGGACTGTGATACACACTCCTCCCCCTACCTCCCTACTGATCAGTTTTTACCTTATTTTCTAATTTTTTTATGACCATCCATATTTATTTTTTTCTGTATTTATGATTGTTTCCTTAGGACAACTTCAAAGTTTTTATGACTCAATTTATAGGATGAAGTTGCTTCCCAAATTGATTACATGAGTTTAAATTGCTATCTGTAAGATATAAATTCCAATTTGCTATAGTGGTCAGCATGCTTACATAAAGATGGTATAATTATTCCTAATGGAAAGCCCAAAGTCCTCTCATTCTAGTATACTGGCCTATTTAGCTATTTTCTGCACCCTTCAAGCTACATTTACATGAACTAATTTTGATTAGATTTCTGAAAGTTCTCTTAGAGCAAAAAAATATTTTGTGTACCAATAACAACTCTCCTCCTATTAAAAGCAAAGAACAAATCCATTACTGTGGAGCTGATTCGGCCTCATGGCAATGCCATATGTTACGGAGGAGAATTGCCCTGGAGGGGTTTTGGCTGTGATGTTTACAGAAGCACATCACAGGTTTTTCCTTTTCTGAGCCACTGGGTGGGTTCGAAGTGCCCACCTTTAGGTCAGTGGTGAAATGCAAACCTTTTCTTTTTTTTTAATTGCAATTCTAATTGTGGAAAACCTACTGTCAGTTTGTGACAATTGATATAGTAGTGTTGGTGTTAGTTGAAGACAGAAGGAAATGAGCTTTGACAATTTAAAAATTGTTGTTGTTGTTGTTGTTGTTTGCCGTCGAGTCGACCCCGACTCATAGCGACCCCTCCTTG